CACTGTTTGGGGGAAAGTCCCAGATAGAAGGGATTTGGAGTAAAAAAAGAAAACTCTCTTTTCCTCATGGCCACAGATGCAGGACTCCAGCTCTTTGGCAGGTGTTTCTTGAGGCTCCTGGCAAAGCTTCCCCTCTGTGGCCAACATTCAGCTGACTATTCCAGGGCACAGGTGTTCCTGAAGGCATCACATAAATTTTGCAGCCATTGCTCATCAGACCTACAAAAATTTGTGGGGTTTTTAAATTTTTTGTTTTGTTTTGTTTTTCAGTGGGCTTTATTTGTCTGCATAAATAACCACAAAAGTAACGTGTTCATATTAGCCTGAAAAGATTCAACTAGGGGAAAATATTAAGTATGACTAAAAGTTCTGCATTACATTCTCTAATTAATAAAGGGAAAAAAGCTTCAAGTTTATTCCTCTGTCCCACAGCTGTTAATATCTGATTTTGCAGAAACCATACAAAAGTAAACTCCATTTGTATAACCTATAGCAAAACAAACCCTTCCTACCTTCCATCTGTCCCTGTGTGTGTGTGTAGCTCTTCTGTCAAAGCACTAAACCCATCTCTTGTCAGCAAAGGGCTCTTCCCAGAAAGACCCTTGAACTAGTAGAAATCTTGAACTGGTGGGAGTCACCCTGGTGTCTATTTTTGTTTCCATTGACAAGAGACAAAACTCACCAGGAGCTAGTCCAGCTGAGCCTTCAGTGGTGATCTGCTTCATCTGAAATTCAGTGTCTGTGATCACCCATTATCACAGAATTACAGAATCACAGGATGGGAAAATTCCCCCAATATCTCATGTAGCCCTGCCCCGTGTCAGTGGGAAGCCATTCCCTGTGTCCTGTCCCTCCACCCCTTTGTCCCAAGTCCCTCTCCAGCTTTCCTGGAGCCCCTTCAGGCATTAAAACAGCATTAAAATCCCCCAGAGCCTTCTCCAGGCTGAACAACCCCAGCTCTCATTGCTGAGCTATCTTCTTTCTAGACTGAGGCAGTTTTCAAATATTAAATTTATGTGAGAATGACAAAAACACTTTGAGTATCAAGGTAAATTAATGTACAAGACAAGAAAATAGAAATATAAATAGAAATAATAGAAATAGAAATAGATAGAAATAGAAATAGAGTTTGTACATAACAAGTACCACTGAAATGAGTCTTTTGCTCACCAGACATATGCACCAAAGCTGATTCTTCTGGATATCACAGACATCAGCTGCATTAGAGATGTAGCTAAGGAGATCCTGAACTGCTATGGCTGTGTGGATGTACTGATTAACAATGCAAGCATGAAGGTGAAAGGAGCAGTGCAGAGCATTTCACTGGAACTTGATAAAAAGATAATGGATGCCAACTATTTTGGACCTATAACATTAACCAAAGGTAATTTTTTCCCCTTTTTTATGCTGTTACCACCCAAAGTACGTTGGCAATTAAATGAGTTAATTAATACTGCAGCCAACTCTGCATGTAGAATTGGATTTTGTGATATTTTTTCTTGCAGTATTGAGACAACCTTCACTAAATTTGTGCTGTTTACACTTTATCTGTTGCTCCTTTTCACTAAATACACTTTTACTTACATGGCTCTTTCTTGTATTTCTCTTTTTGCAGCCATTCTTCCTAACATGATCTCAAGAAGAACTGGCCAAATTGTTCTAATTAATAGCATCCAAGGGAAAATAGGAATTCCATTTCGTGCAGCTTGTAAGTTATACATTGCAAAAAAATACATTCTAATGCCTAAGTTGTGAGGAGTGCCTGACACTCATCATAGGTTATTAAAAGTGCTAATTTACATCCAAATTTGGTATTACTACAATATTTGGCTGATTTTTTTTCCAATTGGAACTCAATTTGAAATAGTTAAAATGCTGCCTTTGAAATGTAGGGGACTTGAGAGAAGGGGATAACAGAATTGTTATTTCCTAACCCAGGATGTGCTGTTTCTGACTGGGAAATGCAGACATGTGCTGTTTGACATCTCCAAGACACTGCATGCACTGTTGTCCTGTACAGATAATTTCTTATTGCTTGTTTTAAATGTGTCATATAATGATTTCACTGGGTGAAACAATTCTTTTGTACTTTGGTTAATCGTTCCATGCTCATTTTCCCAAACATTGATGCTTCATTATACACCTGCTTCCATGCAATCATAGCTCTAAACATGCATATGTGTGCTTTTCACTTTTAGATGCTGCTTCCAAGCATGCTGCTGTAGGCTTTTTTGATTGTCTTAGAGCTGAAATGGAGGAATTTGATATTTCTGTCAGCACTGTGAATCCAACCTTCATCTGTTCCTACCATCGCCAGCCAGCACCAGGCAACTGGGAGGCCTCTATTTGGAAATGTAAGTTTGGGTGGATGAAGATGAGGCACATAAAGCAGGAGGGAGGCTTTTCCAGGGTAAAAACAAAAGGAAAAATGATGGAAATGGCAGAAAGGATGAACAGGTATGAGGAGCAAAAGGAAAGAGATATTGGAGAGGTAATATTAGCCTGGTGAAAAGAGAAGGAGCGTGGGATGAGACAATGTTATGTGAGAAAATAAATATATCAGGGCATCAGGAATGGGGGGAGAGGAGAGCACAAAAGGTCCAGAGGGACAATTCCACTGCACTCAGGTTGCTTCTTCCCTTAGGGGAGGACTTTACCTCAGTTATGAAAAGATCCTGGCCACACACTGATGAGGAGAATGGAGTGGGGAAGGGATTGAAAGTGCATAGAAATCAAACTGATTTGACTGATTCATTAGCTGTGTAGCTTTCAGGGTATTTGTCTGTCTGTCTGTCTGTAGCTCTCACTCCTCTCTCATTTACAGTCTTTTTCAGGAAGGTGTCCTATGGTGTGCACCCTGTGGAGGTGGCAGAGGAGGTCCTTGCCACGGTGAGCAGGAAGAAGCAGGAGGTGCTTATGGCCAACCCCATCCCCAGAGCAGCAGTTTACATCAGAACATTCTTCCCTGAGCTGTTCTTTGCCATTGTTGCCTCAGGGATTAGAGAAAAGCTGAAGACAGAAGAGGAAAATTGATTTTGTTCAATTATCTACTTGCTTTTTGACCTGAAAAAAAAAGATTTTTGTTTTGAATGTCAGTGACTTGTGCTGCTTGCTATGAGTAGAATAATTCCACTATCATTGACACACACAGTCATCTATAAATTTAGGAACTTCAGATGAAGCAGAACACCATTGAAGGGTCAGCTGCACTAGCTCCTAAATTTAAATTTAATTATCTACCAATTGGTTTTAGGGATTATGACAATGTGCCATTGGAACCAAACTGCTCTTGCTGCTACAAGTCCTACTGCTCACATAACTTCCAGCACCAGCTCACTTCCATTCATGATACAACCACCAAGCATGACAGAATTCTGAGGGCAAAGGAATATCTGTCATCTTGCAGGGACACGAACCTTTGGCTGTAGCTCTAATTGAATTGCTCTGGCTTCAGGAAACGTGGCTCAGGGAGGTTTCACCTCTGGGATGGAGGGCTCAGTGCCTGCAGCACTGCTGGAGCTCCATCTATTTTCTGGTGTAGCACTGGGGTTTTATTGTAGTGTGAGTGGCCATGCCTTCACTGGGAGGTCAAACAATCTTTTGTTCACAATTTTCTTGGTCCTCAGCAGAACTCTGCTCCTTCAAACCAGCAGGCATTTGCTGTGATCTCAGTTCTGTTTGTTTCTGTACCTCAGCAACAGCCAAGTCCTCCACATTTCCATAAGAGCAAGATGCAGGATAAGCATAATTTCATCAGAACAGGATCAGGCACCACAGGACATCCCAGCTAAACATGAATCCACATTGTTTGTGGCTGCTCCATCCCTGGAAGTGTCCAAGGCCAGGTTGGATGGGCTTGGAGCAACTTGGGGTAGTGGAAGCTGTCCCTGCCATGGGTGAAATGACACAGATGCTCTTTAAGGTCCCTTCCAACCCAAACCATTCTGTGATTTCTATTATTGTCCTTTGTTGTAAAAACAAGTGGATTACATGTTAAAATAAGCTGAATAATCTTTCTACTCCATTTTACACATTGTAGAGATCAGCAGAAATCCTTCACACAATTTCACTTCCAAACTGTGAGCAGTTCAAGGAGCCACAGCAGGAGGCAGTGAAAGAGGTGAAATAACACCAGTGCCCTATCAGAAAGTTTTAAAAACCAGATGTATTTTTACCTAGAAAGTTGTGTCTGAATAATTTTCAAATTCCTGAAACGTTCTGTGGAGAAGGCAGGGCTGAGCTGTTCTCCATGTCTGCTGGAGTGGGACAATGTGCTAAAATTACTGCCAAGGAGATTTACAGGGACAGCATTTTCTGCTAAGAATAGTTAAGCACAAAGGATAAATTGCCACAGAAATTTTCAAATGCCTGTCTTCAGAAGCTTTAAAGAAGAGATTAATGAAACATCTGTAAAAAAGCAATGTAGCTTTAGTTTATCCTGCCTAAAAGAAAAGAAGGATTAGATGACCTTTTAAATGGGTCACACTTGTCTCTAATTCAGTGGCTTTTTCTCATCTTGAAGATGAGGTTTCTCCATTGGTATTTCAGACACAATATTTTTTTTTTCCCTCTGGGGAAATCTATTATTTAATCTGAAGTTTTCTATTTCATTTGTTGATCTCTGTTTCGCTGTCTCACCTGTGGATATATGTTGCACATAAAAATGTTATTATAAGAAAAATAAATATTAAAACAAGTTCAGGATAACAGGAATTGCATCCCAGAGGTGCCTATTTCTCTCATTAGCTTCCAGTGGTAACCAGGACTGCTGAAGATCTGTGTCTGAAATTTACTGAGATGCCATATTCATCAAAATTGATTGGATCTAATGAATCAGAATAAACATGCTGCTGGTGCTTTTCCTCTGCTTTCAAATAATGTGGTTCCAGGAGTTACTGGGTTTCAAAAGTTAAAATAAGAGGCAGAATATGAAAATGTGGCTTACAAACAGGGATAAGAAATCTTGCATTTCATCAGGTGAATTTATTTATGAGATATCCAGCAGAAGACATACTGCTTCTGGAGTGGTTAGCATGAGAAAAACAGACAGCCTGAGATTTAAGAATGGATCTGGATGGATTCTTACTGCACAATTATTTAAAAAACCCTTACCCACCTGCAGCACTTCATGTGCATGCAAACCAGTGTAAGAAACAATCCTGAGGAAATGGCAGAGACTGTCAGGCTGTGTTAGTGACCTTCAGGCTAAGAAATAGAAAATGAGGCACTTGCATAAATTGCATTTTTCAAAGGACTTGTAGACATTAGCCAAGTATGTTCCTGGATGAGCTGGAAATTCTTCTATGACACCCAGGAACAGCATGAGATGGGTAAAAATCTATTGTAAAAAGAGTTAGGGTTGACAAAAAGCAGAAAGTCAGATGGAATCAGAAATAATTCCTCTGTTGGTGAAGGTGTTAGAAACATATCCATCACAAAGAAATGAGTGAACCAAGGGGAAGGAAGCAAGATCTTGTGTTTTGGATAAGGAATTGAGACTGCTTCTAACAGAGAGGGCACCAAACTCTCCTGCTTTGTTCCCCTGCTGGACTGAAGGTGGCACTTTCAGAGCACTGTAAAGGATAAAACCAAACTTTTCTAAAGATTAAAGAGGAAACCTTACTGCTATTGCAGCCACCTAGTAGGATGGTGTAGGGAATATGGAGCCAGATTCTTCTCAAATATGCACAGTAGAAATGAAAAAGGTAATGGACACAAACTGGAGCACATGACCTTCTGATCTGATACAGGAAATTGTTTTTCTGCAATTGCAGCAGTGAATTTCTACAATTGCAGCAGTGAAGCTTTGGGACCTGTTGCCAATGAGGAAATCTCATTTTTTAAAGCATGTTCCATACATAGACAAAAACTCTCCTCTCTTATCACGAATGGTTTTCTTCTGATTTAATGATGCCTCTCTGTTATCAGCTCCACCTTATCACTGGCCATAACCTGACCTGTTACAGATCCTGCTGGCAGAACAAGTTCAAACTGTATTTATTGCCTGAATAAAGATATATAGGGTTTCAGGGTGGGATTTTTTACAGCCTTTTTAATAAAGAATCAGGTGGAGTGATGCTCTAAAATTCTGACAAACTCACTGTTAGAAACTGCTTAAAAACTAGACCTGGGGGGAACCTGTGTCACTGTTTTTATCTAAACTGAGCCACCTGAATCTTCTTTTCCAATCCCAAGACTTCCTTGAAACATCCACGGAAATATAATTTCTTTATTAAGAAAAATAAATAATACTACACATTGATACATTTTATTCATTAACACAGTTTTGTTTGGATCTAGGATGATAATTTACAGGATGCTCTGAGATCTGGTTCAGCTTTAGAGGACTGAAATAGTGGCCAGGTGACGCAGACTTCTTAATGCATGTGTGGGGTCATCTGTGGTGTTCTGGAAAGAGTTCACATACACATTGCAAACCTTCTCTGGAGCTGTGTGCTCAGGAAACTTGTACTGAATCCTAAAGCTCCTTTCCAGCTTTCTTCTCTTGTGCTTGAATTCCAAGATAGTTTTTGTATATTTGTTAATAGTGGTGACAGCTGCAGCCATACAGCAAGCGAAGGAGGTCCATGCAAGGCTGTGAACAAAAAAAGCAAAAATTATCAGAATTTAGCAGGGCATTTTCATATTCAAGTCCTTCAATTTTATTTCTGAAACCACTGGTTATGTTTGGTGTGTCTGGAGAAGAACCTCTGCTTCATGCAGGGCAGTTGGACCTCTCTGTACTGTCTGAATGATGGCAAATACAAACCTTGCAAACTTACACATTCTGGGCAATAATTTAAGACAACTGATCGACAAGAATGACACCTGGTTACTGAACTGCACTCTCAGAAGTGAAATAAGGTAAAGCCTTGCTTGTAAATTAAGTATAATTCCGTGAACATGGGGTGAAGTGACCAAAATGTAGTGGAAGAACCCAATATAAAGCAGTTAGTACCCATAGGACCAGCCATAATCCCAAGTGTGAGGTCTCCAGTCTTCAGGACCAAGATTTACAGTCATTTGAAATACAGTTGTGTACATCATGTGAGCAACCATTCCCAGAAGACCTAAAAAATACAATGTCATGATAACATTAGTTATTTAGTCCTTGGCAAACAACCTGACAACTAAATGAAAAGTGATCAAATTAAAACAATTAAGTTAAAGATAGCAAAAGCCAAAAGTAAAATATTTCAAATAGACCACATTAATAAATAATTAATAGAAAATAATATTTTCCCCAACATTTTGCTTCAGTTTGTGAAATGGAGATGCCTAACTGTACCTGCTAGCACGGTGACCACTGCAGAGAAGGCGTTGATCTTCAGCCCATCAATGACAGAGCTGTAGTAGCATATTTCCACTGACATGAGAATGTTCCCAGTCAGGAGCAAAACCACGTAGAGAAGCTCTGCTACAATAGACAGCCATAAAACCCCTGCAAACCAAAGCAACAGCACTGGTATTATCAGCAATCATTTCAGATTTTCACCATTTCCTTCTTCATTTGTTTTGTTCACACAAAGTTAAACAGAAGCACAAGGATTGTGAGGGTGCTGTGATAATGAGAACATCTCTGAAGGACTTCAGTGTCAGTGAAAATGCCAAATTGTAATTATTGGGAAAGCAGTTGCATGTTTATTTTCACCATTTCCTACTTTTGTAGTGTTCACAAAAAGTTAAACGGAAGCACAAGGGCTGTGAGGATGCTGTGATAATGAGAACATCTCTGGAGGACTCCAGTGTCAATGACAAATTGATTATAATTATTGGAAAAGAATTTTAATTATTTTTAAAAAAATAATCTTAATTTCAATTAGTTAATTAATTGAAATTTCAAATTGTAATTATTGGAAAAGCAGTTGCATGTTCCTGCTACACACTTAGTGCAAGGTGGGACAGTGTGGTTTTATACTCAGTAGCTATCCTAAAATCACCATGAATCAAAGTTAATATAAAAAGAACCAAAGTTGATATAAAAAGACCCAAAGTTGATACAAAAATAACTGTTGGTGTCATGGTTCTGAGTGCAGAGAGGAGCAGCAGGCCCAGCTGACAACCTGGAGGCCAGGCACACACCTGCACTGCCTGTGGGTCCAGTCAATCAGTAAAATCTTCCCCACAGGCTTAACTTTCAACCCAACAGCATCTTGAATTTTTTGGACAGAGAAGCTTTCATGAGGCCAGACAGCCTCCAGGTTTTGCTGAGATTCATTCCCTAGTTATCTGCTAATTCCTCTCTTTTTGGAGATCTGGTAATTACATCTTATGCAAGAAGTTAATCCTCCCATGAAAGTCTCTCAGCCTGCTGTCTGACCTTTAGCATGCTAATGTCCCACAGCCAGGAGCAGGAGGCCTCCTTGTGTCCAAATTTGCTGCAGCAAGATCTGGAAAATGGTCTTCCCCAAACTTTCCAAAACCAATGTACCCTGAGACACCTGGCTGTAGATTCAAGCAGTGATTCCACATGAAGATGTAAACAAACAATCATAATTTAAAAATTGAAACGCTGCTGAGGCACATCCTTGGTTACCAGACACCACCTAGGGCAGGAGACAAGGTTTGTGTGGTGTGTAACTCCAAATGCTGGCTTGGACAATGTCCGTGGGACTTTTGTGATTCATGGGCCATTTAGACATTAAATTCTTGGGCCAGTCTATGTGTGGGTGTTCTTGGACATGGTTTGTTTCTCCAGAAATTCTGTCTCGGTAAAAAATTGTGATTTCCATCAGGAGCTCCAGATGTTGCATTGCCCAACAGTTCTGGCTGCTCCAGCTGTGAGAGTTTGCATCTTAACATTTTTGGGCAGTGAGCCACTGTAAGAAATGCCCTGAGCAATGGTGACCAGCCCTGTGTGAGGAATTTGGGGAGGCTGAGCCTGCTGCTCCCTGACTTTGGATCACACAGCATGTGCAGGACACAAACCCTTTCTGAGCAGGATTTCCACACAGGATTTCACTCCCCAGGGGGAGATTTCTGGTTTTTAGGCACCCAGATGCTTCTTGGCTGTCTCCACCTGTCCTGCCAGTGCCTGTGACATTTGCTGGTGCTGTTCAGAGTCACTTTCAGCTCTGTGTCCACCTGCAGTTGTCCTTGTGAGGAACTCTCAAAAACACCCCTCACTTCTGTGTGACTACACCCACATCTCATTTATATTTTATTTCTCATGCTACAAAATTCTATTATTCTGTTAAAGCACTGTGACAAGCTGCAGCAGGTAGAAGGAAGACTGGCCTTCAGAGAATGTGTATTTCTCCTTCTCAAGGGTCTGAAATTGCTACCCAGGCATATTCCAGTCCCAGAATGCTGGGAAGAACAAGTTTTGGTTTTTTTTCTGGATCAGCCACTTGTAAAGTGATTGGTCTAATCAGATCAGTGATGGACTGATGTTTTCACACTGGGGAGCAAGAGGGAGGCACAAAGCAGCAGGAATGTTTTGTAAGAATACTGGAAATATTCTATATTAAGAACTATAGTTCTTTATTAATAATTAATTATTCTTTATTAAGAATTATTGAGTATTCTTTGAAAGAAGAGAATGGAAATGTGTCCTCACAGCTCTGAGTTAAGGCACAGGGAGGGGATTCAGATTCCACCAAGGCTGGTTTGGTGCACAGCACATCTCCCTCAATCCCCTCAGCACACAAAACTCCTGGGTAGATGTTCACACACTGCCACAGAATTCCTGGCTGCAAATGTGGAGGTGTGAGGAGACAGAGGGCAAAAATACACAAATTTTGACTTCCAGTACCAATAATCCGTTGTCAAAAGCCATTCATATTCAAGTGGTGTGTCTTCAGAAAGACATACATTGATATTCTAAGCCATATTACCTTCATTTTGGAGTTAGAAAACTGAATAAAGGACAAAAAATACTCTTTGTGATTAAAGCAAGCATTTTTGAAATGGATTAATTTAATTTAATGCAGAATACTTATATTGGTAAGTGTGATCAGGAAAGTTTTGTCTACAGACAACACACATGCATATCTACCTCGATCAGAAGCTGGAGTCAGACTGATGAAGCTTCTACATTTCTCACCTAAAAAAGCAAAAAACAAAATCAAATTCAGGATTATTTTGTACTCTGTAATGATCTAAAGAAAGAGATTAATAGAAAGAAGAAAATGCAAAATCTATCACAGAAGCAGAAAGTGAGACGATTAGAAGCTGTTTTTAGTGTACACAGACCCTGGAACATCAACCTTCTTGTGAGGTTTAACCAGAGGGTCCTCACAGATTATTTGAAGGTAGAGCCAGAGCCTGGAAGACCTACAGCAAGGCTGTGAATTGATTTCCATGGGGTGGTGGCTGTGAAATCCATCCGAGGAAAATTCCTTTTCAGAGCTGGCAGTCTGGAATCAATCCTGGTGCTGGGGCAGAGCTGCTCTCCTCGCAGCAGCAAGGCTGCTGCTCACACAAATTCCCTCTAAGCTTCATTCCAATTTCTTCCTGTAAGCTGTGATTCTCAAACCCACATAACCCCCTGCCCCCCACACAGATGCTGTGAACAAAGCTCTCGGAATTAATTCTCTGATCTGGACATGCTGAGTGTTTTTTTTTTTCCAGCTCCTAACTGCACCAAGTCAGAAAACATCAGCTTCCAAACTTGAGCTCCCATAGCAGATGCTCAAATTACACAACCCTGGAACCCATGGCATGGATAAAAGGTGTCTTTTGGACATGTAGTTTGCTCTGATTTTGACATTTTTCTCTTAAAACTGAATAACTTGCAAGAAGTTCTGGTAGAGCTGGACCTTCAGGACAGGTGGCTGTAAAAATATTTGCATTTTATGGCATAGGTGACAGCTGCTTTGATTTTTCTGAAGTTCTGTTCTAGCTGTTGCTTTTAAACTGATCAGGGCAATAAAGGGAAAAACTTAATGTTGATTTGTTTTTACAATAAATCCTTGAATTCTTGAAACAGCAATTCCCTTATACAAATATACAAAATTTACTAGAAAGTTTCTGTAATGGCAAGCTAATTTAATTCTAATAATATTTACATATGCAGAGTGAGTCCCAATTAAATGCCACCACTTATGGCTGGTAAATCTCCATATCATGTTTTAGCAGGATGAAAACAATCCTCTTCTGCTTTGATTTATGCAAGGTGAGATCACAGCAAGAAAGTGGAAATACTTGTGCTCAAGAGGAAATCCAGGAACTAATTTAGATCCCACAGATTTATTAGTGCAAATGATTTAAACAATAAAATTAAATAAGTTTGCATGTTTTACATTGCCATAGGGGATCAGAAGGAGTTTTTAAAGCAAGTATGGTAATTTTTGACTAATGGAATAAAAACCACTGGAAAAATGAAACACTTTCCTGTTAAAGTAATTTAGCTTGCTGTTGTGGTGAGTAAAATAAAAACCAAATAATCTTCATCTGCACCACAACCTGTCAGCTAAATCAAAACCATAACCTGTCACCTTGATGTTCTTTGCAGAATTTTTAGGAATTGACTAGACACTACCCTTTAAGATCCCCTTTGCCAAAGAAGAGCAACTCTTTAAGGCCACAAACCCCATAAAACACATAACCAACAGCGAAGCAGAGGGCAAGGGCACACCAAATAAGCAGGAAATAAATTTCCACGTGGTTTACTCACCTTCTTCATTTATCATTTCTTCACAGGAATACCAGATGCCAGCGTGGAACTTCTTCTCCACGAACTTGTCGTCCCCAGTCTCCCAGATGTACTGCACGGCCTGGCTGCTGTTGCCGTCGGCGCTGTTGAAGCGGATGCACAGATCCCCTTTGCTGTCTCCTTTGCAGAAAGGTTTGGCCACTTTTCTGGTCCCTTCACACCAGTAACTGCTGCTGAAAGCCGTGATGGAGAAGATTAAAGAGAGGAAACTCAGAGAAAATGCTGCTGAGGCTCTGTGCCTCCTGTCTGAGTCTGGGATGGAGGAGGGCATCTTCCAGAGCTTCACCAGAGATTATTCCAGAAATTCTCTTCTGCAAATTTCTGCATCTGCCTGCCTTCACCATCCCATTCTTCATCCCTCCCAGAAAATTGTGCTAGCTTAGGAGTTTAAGACAGAGAGCAGAGATCTGGGCATGACCAGAAATCATGTGGCAGGGGAGATTAAGAATAAAGGACAGTGTTGCTTGGCAGCAATGTATTGTGGAAGAAATATGAGGAAGTGTAACAATAAATGATCATTTGCCCCATGAATCATACACAGAACACAGAAGCATTGGAAGTACCCCAGTGTGCAATCACTGAAGTTTTATTTATACAAACAAAACATGCCTATTTACCTTAATTGGAGTCACACTGATGGGATCTCCATTTCTTAGCTAAGGAATAAACAAAATCTCACAGCTCCAAATGCTCCTGTGACACTGAGCACTTTGAATTGAATACAGTTGTGACTCTTGTTATAAAAAAAAGCTCCTAAGGAGCTAAAACTGGTTGGTCAGCTGCAGCATTTCACAGCATGCAGCACTAGAAAGGGGACTGCCTATGTTCAGAGCTCCAGCAGTGACAAATAAAAGTCATAAATTACCTGCCTTTGCTCTTGATGGTTTCCTGGGCACTGCCCAGTCTGCCCCCATGAACACACAACACGAGTTTTGCCCAAGGGAGGGGAAATGTTAGAGAAAATGCTGAATTATCCTTATTTGATATGTGCATCTTCTCACTCTGTGAAATAGCATTTCTTTTTCCTCCATCTAGGAAACATTTCCTACTTTGGCATGTTATAAATATTGTTTTTTCTGCCTGTTTGGTGGTGCAATTAAGATATACAAACAACCAAAAGGAGCTGGGGTGTTAGAGTAATTCACTGCTTCATTTTACAACTGTGAAGTCAGAACATGTGCCCTAGGGGAGAATGGTTCCTCAGGACACTGAAGTCACACATGTACCTTCTAATGAAAATAATTTGGATTTTCAAGACAGCTCTCTACCAAAAGATGTCAGAGCTGGAGAAGCAGATGAGTCCCAGCCTGAAGCTCAAGGATAACAGGATCAATGCCTGCTTTAGGCTGCCATGAAAAGCTCAGCTTGCAGAGTGCAAGACCAAGCAGGTCTGGTCTGCAAAGCAGAGCAAATCTCACAACCCAAAATCCAGATGCAGCTGCAGCCAGGAGTTATTTTGTCCCAAACTTTTGTCTCACTGCATTTTCTCAAGGGTGTAGCAGTTGTGAGAGTGGGAGTGGGAGCAAGTGAGAGCAGGAGGGAGGGAGGGAGGGAAATCCTGCTAAGGATTAAACACTGATCTCTGTTTGTGTTCCTGTGAGTAATCTGCATATGGCTGTAATTAAATATATTTTGAGACCTGTGAAACCACTGATGCCTCCTGGATGACAACTGCAGCCTGAGATGTTTCACAGAGAGTTTTTTGCCCTAGCAATGCTGGTACCACAACTTTCAAATCCATTTTTCATGCAAGAATGGCTCTGTTTCATAGGAGAAATAGGAGGAATTTATCGGTTAGTTCTGTCTAAACTGTGAAAAAAGAAAGGAAATAACAGAAGAGCAAATAGATTTGCTGGACCTTCCTTCAAGCAAGGTGTTACATGCAGTGATTTTTGCTGAATAAAGTTAAGAGGTGGATAAACAGAATACGTGCAGGTAACACCAAGACAGCCACGATCCACCTGGCAGCTGCAGCTTTGGAGAAAACACTGAACATCACAAGAATTGTAGTAAAACTTCACTGCTGGGAGCATTTTTTTTTTCACATTTAGATTCTTCCTGATCCTGCAGTGGCTGTGCACATTTGACAAAATATGATCAAAAACCATAAACTTTTACTGAGCTCTTTTCTGATGGACAACCAAAGTCAGCAAGCTTCCTACAGAAAGGTTTTCCTGTGTTTTAAGGTGCCATTTATTGGTTTCATGAGGTGTGTGTAAATATATAGATGTGTATAAATAGATATATATGTGAATAAATATATATGTATAAATACATATATAAATATAAATATTGATATAGAGATGATATAGATATAGAAATAGATATATTTATTGATATATATATATATATGAATATAAATATAAATAAATAAATATTGAAATATAAATATATATATGTACGTATGCATTTACGTATGTATAAATATATATATGTGTTTTGTGGAGCTGGATTGCATTCTGGAAAAAATCACTGGCAAAATTCCTGTGGGGCTTCAAGGGACAGGATCAGCCTTTTAATGTTTTAATACTTTTCTGCCTCCTTATTGGTTCATGGAGCAGCTGCAGTAAGCAGAGTTGCTGTGAAGTTTAGACTGAGCTCTCTCTGCCTTTAATCAGGAAAACCAAAACACAGTTGGAGCCTAGCAAAGCTAAACACTTCAGGAGACTTCCTCACTTCTTTGGAAAGGGGATCATGGAACAGTGGCATCCATAAAGAAGACACTTCTACTTCTATTTTTTTTAATTAATATAATCGATTTTTAGAGTGAAATAGCATATTGGGGACAAATTTGTTGGAATGGGCATGGTGACACTTTTTGCTCTCTGTACCAGCATGGGACTCTGGTCCAGGATAGCTCCAACATCTGCCAGCTCTATCCTGATATTGTTTCTTGTGAAACAGGTAAGCTAATTCCATAATTAATTTTAACTGTCACAAACAAAAAAAATGTTTGTACCAAAGATCCTTCCGACATAACAATTAATTTTTATTGCTAATTAGCCGTGAGAAACAATGGCTGCAAAGCTGTAGAGTTTTATATTAGAACTCTCTCTGGCTAGGTCATTTATTACCATTTTAGTCTCTTAAACCTCATTCATGCAGTGAATAAATTATTTTGATTTGCACAATGACTTTTCATAGCAGTATTGATCAGCATTGAATTACATTTGGTTTTCCGTTTTCCTCCCAGATAAAAATGCTGTTATGAATCACGTTTATTTTCTACTGTTTTTTTCTCTGTTCTAAACCCAGCTTTGATTTGTTTCTGGCACTGACGGGTGAGCATTGAATCTCCAGTTTGTGAAATCTGGATGGTTTTGTTCTGCACCTCACCTTCATGCAGAAAGCAAATAAATCTGTGTGAGATTTCTGCATTTATTTCCTGTACAGATCCACTAAACCATTTTATTTTTATTTTCTTTTTTTCTCTAAATCTTTCCAAACGCTTATTTCTTACTTACCATATAAATTGGAAAGGGTTTAGGTATTTAATGAGAAAATGTCTCAGTGTATTTCACTTCAAGGAAATTTTCACGTAGGTTTTTAGTAATTCTTGTTTATTTATTAATATCAATCTTGATTTGACTAAATTTTTTAAACGATTACTGATATTTGGTAAATATCAATTGAGCTGAATAAAATTCACAGATATATTTAGGATACATTTCTTTGAAGTGTATGGGTATCAGAACAATAAACTGAAAGTGAAAAGGTATTTCTCTCCACTTAATCTCAACTTTATTGGGTTTCTGAGAAAGTGGGTTTGCAGCTGTTTGTGCTGTAGAGCCAATATTTGTGTTTCTAACCTTTTTATAAAGAAAAAATTACCAGGAAAAAAAAAATACATGCCAGTGTACCCCGAGTGCCCCAGCTCCAGGAAGATTCCTCCTCTCCAGCAATGGAACCAAACCAGCTGCCAGGTAGCCCTGCGAGGTTTCCTTTGCATTCCCTTGGCTGTTGGACACATTTGTTTATCAGGAGTGGAGTGCTCTTCCCCCAGCCAAGCAGCTCTGTCTCAAATGCGTCATCTCCAAGTCTCTGCCTCTTCAGATGGGGTTCACTGACCCACCAGTGTCTGGGGAGGCTCCCCTGGCTCCCAGGATTTGGAGGCCTGCATGAGGGAAATGTCAAGATGCTTTTTTTTTATTTTGGAAACATGCATTCCTTTCTCATGGCTGCTGTAAATATTCTCTCCTTATCTTTCAAGCCCATCCACGGAAGAATGATTATAGTTTTTCTGCTCCCTCAAGCTTAAAGTGGATGTCTGGAAATTAGGTGGGAGACTAAAAGCAGAGTATTGAGCAGGCAACATTTCACACAGTAAAAACCTGCATGAAATAGTGAACCTGCCTAAGAGCTAGTCACCAGAACACTGTTCTTGTTTTAAAAGGAAATAAATATGATTTTCTTCATTAAAATAAAAGCAAACCATAGGTTCAAAGGAACAAAGGTGAAGTTCACAGACATCTATTTTTCTGTTTATATATCTCAGCCCATGGTCAGGCAACATCAGGACAAACACACACCTTCAAAGAAAGTGTGTAGTCCAGACAAAAAGAAATTGACTTTTCCTGGAGAACTGAAAGGCATCTTTTAGTAAAAATTGTTTAGAAAACTTAAATATTTTGTTTGCTCTCCAAAATTTACTCATTAGAATCGGTAACATTTTCAACCAGTAACGGATTTTTCATTTTTGGTGACTTGTAGTAGCTGTAATCTTTGGCTGCTCTGGCCTCTGAAAGCCCTGGTGTCAGGAGAGCTGGGGTTTATTGCACAGAGGTGTGAAATTAGGATTGTGGTCTTTTCCATGGGTAAATAATGCTCAAATCACCATGCTAATAATAATGCATCTCCCATTATCCTTCCTGAACTGCTTTGCTCCCAATAAGGCATTTCTTCACCCAAATCACCAAACCTTTTTGCATTTAATTCTTCTGGTTTTAGCCAATGCTTTCCTGAACAGCAGTTATCAGCCATGGCTCTTTTAAAGACCTCTGCAGTCAGATAAGGAGGTGTCTGTCATTTTATTGTGTGGGAAATCTAGAGGGCAGAGATTCTTCTCACCTATGGACACCAGAAGAGAGCAAAACAGTGCCCTGTTGAGGCAAAAAGGGCAATATGGTGTAAATGGGCAAGTAAAACTGAAATTCACAGAAGTGTTTCTTAAAAGAAGAAAAAGGGGAAAAGAAGAATAGAAAGATGTCTGTGGCACAGCAGCAGCTGCTGGTAAAATAAGTGCTCTGTGAAATGCTGGGCAGGAGAACAGAATGCACCAGAGGAAAGGTGTTAGTAGCTAAATAGCATTGCTTATTCATTACTGGTTTATTCAGCTTTCTTTTTGCTGTGCTACTCAACCAGATATGCTTGATTACCTTTAAAAATATTCTAAAACCAAAAAACCCTTTAGACTTTTTTCACCTACCACTTTTTCCTCCACTCTCCTCTCCTCATTTCTGTGCTCAGACCAGAATTTCTTGCAATGGAAAGCAACTTGTCATTAAGGACTAAAAGGTTCTGATTTTTCTTGTGCATTTTCTCGAGTATTTTCACTCCCAGGCCAAAGGTTCTCTGCTGGAAAAAACCACTACTGGATGGAACAAATACAAACAGGAATGCCTGAAAATGCTGCAGGAATCGTCTGTAGATAGCGGTAAGGAATTAAGCAATGAAGACATTTATTAACACTGACAAATATGCAGATATTGCCTTGCTGTTTGTCTGCTCCTGTTCTAAATGTAGAACAATTCACCTGACACAAATACGAGCCTGAAGTCCCTTGTTTATTTTCCTTTCTCTGTGGTCACACAATCCCAGAATCACAGAGCACCCTGAGCTGGAAGGACCCACAGGGATCTCCCAGTGCAGCCCCTGGCCCTGCCCAGACCCCCAACAACCCCACCCTGGGCATCCCTGGGGAGCCTGGGCAGTGCCAGTACCCTCTGGGGGAAAAACCTTTCCCTGTATCCAACCCAAACCTCCCCTGGCCCAGCTCCAGCCATTCCCTGGCTTCTGTCACTGTCACAGAGCACAGACCAGAGCTGTCCCTCAGGAGCAATCTGCAGCCCCTGGTGAGGTCTGACCTCGCTTCCTTGTGAGTTTAAGCAATAATTTTATCATACACAACATTCATCTGCATATCTCATTATTCTGGACTGGCTTGCAGGTTCCCTGGAACAGTACAGAGTGGTTTCCATGATTGCCCTTTGTCTGCACAGCTTTTTGTAAAACCTTTGTTTGCTTCTCTCCCCAGGAGTTCACTGCAATGGGACATTTGATCAGTTTGTTTGCTGGCCTTACTCACCCCCAGGAAATGTCTCTGTTCCTTGTCCTTCATATTTGCCATGGCTGGAAAATGGTAATGTCAAAATGGTGATGTCAAAATGATGATGTGAAAGTGGTGATGTGAAAGTGGTGATGGCAAAGTGGTGATGGCAAAGTGGTGATGTGGAAGTGGTGATGTGGAAGTGGTGATGGCAAAGTGGTGACTTCTCTTGGAGTCTGTGCCAGGAATTCAGCTGCAAGACACGTGCTGCTTGTCTGTCTTGCCCCAGTGTCCTCTGAAGTGGTCTCACCTCTCTCTTCCACTTCTGAACTGAGGCACAAAATCATTTTTGATATTTATTCCCTCTTTTTCTCCATCTGTGCCTGCCACAGCTCTGTACTGTCAGCTGTAAAGCAACATTTGCAAGGTCACGTAACCATGTGTAGTGGTTTTGAGTTGCCAGTTTGAGATTTTTTGGTTAATGTGCTAATTAGTGGGGTGGGATTAGTGCTGGTCAATTATTAGTGCACTTACTAGAAAGTAATACTTATTACATTAATGCATATTACTTGCTGAAGGGGCACAGGAATGAAATATCAGCCTGCAACATCAGTGTTACAGAGAAAGATCATTCCCTGATCAAATCCCTGTGCAGTTTTGGCTGCCCAAACTGGTCAATGAATTACCCATTCACGAGCTTAATGAGGAAAAATGAATAAAGGGAGATGTAGGCTTCTCTTTTGGATGTACTCTGTTGGTTTTGTAAAAAACAGGTACATTCTGGGAATTTATTCCTACTTTGTCCTATGTAGCTATAAAAATATATTGACAAAGACAAAAAAAAAAGGGTTGTTTTTTTTTTTTTGAGTATGGGTGGTGGGTGTAGAGGCTATTGTGGAGGTAGAAATCTTTCAAACATGTATGAAAAATGAAATCTCCATTTTGACCTTTCAAACTAAAACTCTGTTTACTTTCAGGAAGTGTAGGACATGTATACAGAGTCTGCTTGGATGAAGGGATTTGGCAAACAAAGGAAAATTCCACAGACATTTGGCGGGATAGTTCAGAATGTTCTGAGAAAAATCATTTCCAAAAAAATGTAAGTGTGTTTTATATTACAGTGAAAACTTTAATCTTCTTAATCCTTTCTTGAGTAACTGACAAAACATTTCCATTTAATACCTGCAAAGCATCTTCAGATTTCATTTAAATTACCAGATGGAAAGCTGTTATTTTATTTATAAGAAGCAGAAAAGAAAATATTAAAGAAGGGGATTCCTGCTTTAGATGCCACAAGTTATTTTCTGCTCACAGAAATATAATGGTCCAGTGTTCACATCTGCTGATTTTCTCCTAATAAAATAGAAAAACTGCAACTTGTCAAGCAAGCAACTCTCCAAATCACATTGGTCTGTGAAAATCAGACAGCTTCCCTCCTGAGCCTTTCAGCCTTTCATGAGCTGTTAATTGGTTATTTAAAGTTTGCTGCTCAGAGGCTGGAGGATTCACCCTTACCTAATGCCATCCTTCCTGTATTTCTCATATTGCAAAGTCCAGGGCTGGACTTTATCAGCCCAACTTCTTTTACCATGGAATTTAGAATTAGGTCTCTTAGGTAAGCACTATCACCACTATTTTTTACTTTTTAATACTGAGTGCTGTTTCCTATTTTATCAAGTAACACTGCTTTACTGATTGGTTATGAAACATTATTAGTTTAGTAGCTCTGTGTATTACTCTGTTTTTACTAAGCTCTTTATATGGTAAATACATGAATTTCCAAACTTTCAGTTTATTTATGTAAATGTAATAAAAATATTCATAAGTTATGAGTGTTTTCCAAAGTTTGTTGACCATTCTGGATCAGTATATTTTATATTATTTCATCTTGTGAGACAGCAGACAATGTCTTTGAAAGCTTTAACCATCTTTCCTACCAGCACTAAATGTGGGCTTTTTTAATTTTATTTAATTGAATAAATTTTATTCCATTTGTTTTGTTTTATTTAATTGAATAATATGGACAATTTTTTTGTTTTATTTAATTGAAACCCCCCAAGCTATTGGAAATAACCCAGAGCCAGTATCTTCACACAGAGGAATCACCTTGGTTTCATGTGCTTTGGTGTTGCAATATTGAAATAGCCAAGATGATAACTTGAGATTTTTGCAAGGTTTTTCCCTGCTGGAATGTTTCCATGGAGCAGAGTGACCAGCAGCTGGGAATCTCCTGCACCCACTCTGCTTTTCCTGGGCTCCTTCACCCCTTCAAGAGAGGCATGGCTCACTGGCATGGAATTATTAGAGAAAACTGCTGGCAAAGACAGTGCTAAAGTCCCTGGTGCTGAGTAGTAGAAGAAGAAAATGAGCAAAATCAGTGAGGAAAAGACACAGGTTCCAAGAAAAGCTCTGTAGGCCAAATGTGGATTATGAAAGTCACAGATCCTGTGTGTCATTGCCTCTTCAGAGATGCTTTCCTTGGGCTAGAAGTTTGAAGAGCTGAGAGGCAGACATAAGCAGCTAAAATAGAAAAAAAAAATAGGAAAAAGAAATGTTAAATTAGGCAAATTGAGAGGAAATTTGTGCAGGACCAGGAGCTGGACTTCAGAAATCTTTGTGGGTACCTTTCAACTCAGGATGTTCGATGATAATCTATCAAAGTGTGAATAGTCCTTTTCCTCCTCTGAGGTCATATTTGTCATTCAAAGACATTAAAGACAGCTCTAATTTAATAATTATATTTTTTCCTGTGAACTCAAGACAGAAGTCAGTCTGTTTCAGTAGCTGTAGGCAGAGCTGACTCCCAGATTTGTGCAGACACAGCTGGTCAGTGCTGTGTGTCCAGGCCACACACACACTGTGTGCAGGTTCAGTCAGTTATCCCTGCAGCTGCTGACCCACCAGGATCCATGAATCCATGGCAAGGACCACCTGGGATTTGGGCTAAAAATGGTGTTTGGGCAGAAGAAATCTGGGAATAGTCTGGGAGACCCTTTGGATTTCAAAAACTAAAACTCAGGGTGCAAGTGTCTTTGTCACACTGATATCAGAGGCAGTGCAGAAAGCAGGGATCAGAATCCTGCCCTGGCTCCTGGAAACTCAAAAATGTGATCCCCAAAGTTCCTGAGCTTGCTTCTGCCCTGTCCCCCTGCCTACAAACACATTTTTCTTCTTTGTTCCCAGGAAGAAGAACATAAACTGCTCACCACATTACAGCTGTTGTACACCATAGGATATTACTTTTCTCTTATCTCACTGGTGTTAGCTCTGCTTATACTTTCTTTACTCAGGTTAGTAAAAATTTACATGCATTTTAAATGTACAGAGCCCTGTACTCACATTCTTCTTATGAAATTGAAGTTGTCATTTAATTTCCAGTGTTCTAGTACCTGGTGGGGCTACAAAAAAAGCTGGGGATGAGCTTTGGAAAATGGCTTTGAGCTGAAAATGGTAGATTTAAATTAGGTGTTAGGTAGGGATTCTTTACTGTGAAGTCATCCAGACAAACTGCCCCAGTCCTGGAAGATTTTAAGGCCTTGGAGCATCCTGATCTAGTGGAAGGTGTCCTTGCCCATGGCAGGGGGGATGGAATGAGATGGGCCTTTAGATCCTTTCCAACCCAATCCATTCCGTTGATCCATGTAAATAACTTGTATTTTCCTAAGGGGCAATACAAATGCAATTTCTAAGCAGAATCCATTGATGACAACAATATGAATATGGGTTTTTGCTGGTTTTTAAAAATTTTATTTCCGCAAATTACACATATTCTGGAGGATTCATACATTATTTTTTCTCCCCCAGAAAACTTCACTGCACAAGAAACTACATCCATATGAATTTATTTGCATCCTTTATCTTGCGTGCTGCAGCAGTTCTTATTAAAGACTCTGTGTACAACAATATTTACTCAAAAAGACCAAATGATGAAAGTGGATGGATATTATACCTCAGTCCAGAGGTAATGTGTTAATTCATAGCTGATAATAAATGTGTGCTTCTAGTGGTCATAACAGTTACAGTTTGGGAAGTTTACCCTACAGCATCAGCTGTTGAGGGGTTTGTAAATTGACTTTTGGATGTTGAAATTTTGTTGGTAAAAGTTGGGGTAATCAAGATGAAATCCTGATTGTAAGAAATTTCTTTTAAATGAATAGGAAGAACAAATTAATTGATTGTAATATTTAGAAACAGCCACTTAAGCAAAGCATCTCACACCTTGTAGCCTTTAGAAAGAAATCTCTGTGTTTATTTGGCAGAGATTATATATATCTATATATTATATATATATAATAGATATATAATATCTGTATTATATCTATATAATACATAATATATATTTATATTATATAATCATAGTATACACAATATTATACGTATATATAATTTTATATGCTATATTTCTAATAATTATATAATAATTATATGTGGATAATATAGATGTATAGAATATATACATCACATATATTTATAGATATTATATATATTTATAAATATTATAAATATTTATTATTCTTGTATGTTGTTGTAGAAATAGAGCTTACCCACATCAACAAGGAAAATTATCTGCAAGATAAATAATGATAATTATTATTTAACAGCTCATCAGTAAAAACTCTCACATGCAGATCCTGACATCTATATTTACTCCTGGTCTCTCCTTCCTACAGATTGTAATCATTTGCAGGACTGCCCAGTTTTTCATGCATTACTTTGTTGGGGCAAATTACTTCTGGCTGTTGGTGGAAGGGATTTATCTGCACACATTGTTGATAACTGTGGTGCTCTCTGAAAGAAGGCTGCTGCAGACATACATCGTGATAGGATGGGGTGAGTCCAGAACTGTTTCCAAGCCCTGGTTTTGTTTTGCTTTGCTGAGTCAGTGGAGGATATTTTGTAAAGGAAAAAGAAAGTCTGCTTCTACAAGCTTGGCTGGAATAGATTCTTCTTTTCTTTGCAGTTGTTCCAATCCTGTTTGTGGGCCCATGGGGAATAAGCAGATCCAAACTGGAGAACACTGGGTAGGTTATTAAAGAAAATGTTCTTTGGAATCCTGACTTTTTTTGCTTGGCTGAAAGCCCTTGGCTGTACTTGACACAAGAACTGACCAGAAAATTATCAGATTATGCAGCACCTATGGATACTTGTTACATTTTCAAGCTTCCCTTTAGTACTTTTACATTAAAAAAAACTTTGAAAAATAATAATAAAAAAAAATCTGAGAATTTTTAGATTTCCTCATGCATTTAGCAAGGAGTAGAATGAACATTTACTGTTCCTGAAATGTTCATCCATTTACATAAAGCAATTGGATATTTTACCTCAGTCTAGAGGTAATGTGTTAATTCATAGCTGATAATAAATGTGTGCTTCTAGTGGTCATAACAGTTACAGTTTTGGGAAGTTTGCCCTACAACATCAAGTGTTGAGGGGTTTGTAAGCTGAGATTTGGATGCTGGAATTTTGTTGATAAAATTTGGGGTAATCAAGATGAAATCCTGATTGGAAGAGATTTCTTTTAAATGAACGGGAAGAACAAGTTAATTAATTGTAATATTTAGAAACAGCCACTTAGGCAAAGCATCTCACACCTTGTAGCCTTACAAACCTGTGAGTAAGAAGATGAGACCAGTGCTTTCCTGGGAGACCACCAACACTTTGAGTTTATTTCATATTCACTGCCACTTTTTAAAGAAAAAAAGTGAATTGTAATGGAGGCTCATGACCAAACCTGATAGTGAGTGAGAGCTGATATTTGGTGAGGCATCAGTGACAGAAACGTGCACCAGCAAGGACCAGTTCCTGCTCTTCAGTGATGCTGTTGGTGACATCACATAAACTTTGTTGTGAAAAATGGCAATCACTTATTTTTAAAATTTTAAAAGTTTAACAGTAATAAAATGATTATAAAAATAGTAACATAACTAGAGTAATAAAAATTTGGACAATTGGGATTTAGGACAATATGGGACAATAAAAACAAACAATCATTGACAGTCCAGGTACCTCTTTCTGGGCAAAATAAGCCCAGAAAAGGCCCCACGTTAACAGAGGATTAACCCTTAAAAGCAGCAGCCTGTTGCACATTCACACACCTTATCCATGATGCATAAATTCCATTCAAACACAGGATTCTGTCTGGTCAGGGTCAACTTCTTCCTCTGAATCCTGACAGCGTCTTCAGGGCTGAGTGAGGCAGGAAGAAGAAATTATCATTTCTTCTGATAATGGAGCAATAAATTCTTTTTCTCTGAAAGATTTAGGTGTCCTGTGGTTGCTGTGTTGGTGCAAGAACCTCATTCCTTTCTTTAAAAAAAGTATCTTACATAGCATAGTTTCTATTTTAACATTATGTTATAACCTCAAACTATATTTAACACGCTACTTAAGAAAATTAATACAGCATAACTTTCTGACATAACACATATAATATTATTTTTTGTGAAAAGCCAATTAAAAATAGACATTATTAATATTTGTGCTTTATGTATGGAATCTTTTGCTCTCTTCTTATTTTTTGTGGTTTCTAGAGATTTTATTTGCAAAGCCAACATGGATAATAAGCAACACCAAGCCATAATTATGGTCTTACAGAGTCACATAAATTCTAAATGACAAGCCAAGATCCTACAGAACCTCAGGCTGATTAGCAAGAATAAATAGGACAAATCAGAGGGTTAAAGCAGGAGAAAAAGAGACAGCTGCAAAGAAACTGTATGCACATTTTTTAGCAGATCAAGAAGCATGGACACAATTCCCAGTTCATTCATTTCCAGTTTCAGATAGATAATTTAAGGATTAATTCCATTATGAGGGTTTGGTGTCATGTTTTGTGGATTCAAAGACTGAGTTTGGCAGATAGTTCTGAAGTTTATGGTCCAGGGAAATCTTTATCAACATTGATATGGAAAGATCTTCAGAGCTGTTGGTGAAACTCTTCCTAGTTTTATTCCATTTCTTTTGGGGGCTCAGCTGCAAAGAAACTGTATGCACATTTTTTAGCAGATCAAGAAGCATGGTCACAATTCCCAGTTCATTCATTTCCAGTTTCAGATAGATAATTTAAGGATTAATTCCATTATGAGGGTTTGGTGTCATGTTTTGTGGATTCAAAGAGTGAGTGTGGCATATAGTTCTGAAGTTTATGGTCAGGGAAATCTTTATCAACATTGATATGGAAAGATCTTCAGAGCTGTTGGTGAAACTCTTCCTAGTTTTATTCCATTTCTTTTGGGGGCCACCTGAAAAAGTTGAACTTCACCAAGTTCCTTTTGAAATAAACAGACAAGTTATGTGAGCATTCTAACTTTCTTTTTTTGCCTATGAAAATAATTATTCTTTAAATTATTCTCCAGGTGCTGGGGAACAAATGAACACATGGGGATCTGGTGGATCATCCGAGGCCCAATGTTGTTTTCCATTGCAGTAAGAATTATATAACCTGTATTATTTTTCCCTCCTTGGTCTTTGTAATTAGTGCCATTTTTGTCCTTCAAAATTTTGGAACAAATAAGGTACAGTTTCCTACCACAGAAATATCAAAATAATATTTCACATTTCAATAATTCATAATATTTCATATTCCAATAATTTCATAGTATTTCAATTTTCACATAAAGTGACAGAAGAGATAAAGTTTTGTTCAAAAAATGAGGAAGGAGGGTTCTGTGTTAAAAAAATGAAATGTAATTTTGTAATTTTGGAAGATCATGTATCAAATTATATGTCAGGCTGAATAAGACAATGCTAAGACAAGCCCCTCCCACCCCCTCAGGCCCCACCCACCTCCTGCTCTGATTGGCCAAGACCTCCAACGCCCGCAGCACTGCCTCCGGGCTCTGGCCAATCAGCACGGCCTGCAGGGGCCGCCAAGTGTCAGGGGAGGGGGTGTGCCACCCCCTCAGGCCCCACCCACCCCTCACTCCCTGTAGCCACACCCACTTCATTAAGCTACTCAGTTTTGCATATTTATTATGTGACAATAACCTGCTTGTATTCAAACTTCAGCCCAGCTACATTCCAGTTATTTGGTGGCAAGTTTTGCAAGTATTTAATATCAATTATACATTTATTTAATTGTTAACTGATGAGTGTAATAACATTTGCTGTAAATAAACCATATGTGTTTTCCTTCAAGGTTAATTTTGGCATCTTCTTAAAAATTCTCAGAATGCTGATTTCCAAACTGAAAGCTCAGCAAATGACCTTCCATGACTACAAATACAGGTATGTAACAAATGACAGAAGTCCTGATAGCTTTTTCTTGAGTTAGGTCTTATGAGCTCTTACTGAATTTATCACGCTTGAGATAGCTTAGCTACATTGAATGGTATAAAATTAATAGGATAGTTTGTGAGGTAGTGTTGGAAACAGAAAAAAGTTTAATGAAAGGCAAAATAACTAACCTTTTTTAAAGAAAAACTGAGCTAGGGATAAGAGGTTTTTGTTAAAACACTCTACAAAAATGAGTATTTATTTTGTTCTCTTCTTTTTCTAGTGAATTATTTAGGTGGGACTGTCCAGTTGGGTAGCTCTAGGTCTGAGGTGAAGTTTTAAAGGTCTTAAGAGGTGTCTTTTTACTAAATTGAGGAGAGAAACTTTTGGGCTTTTTGTTTTTTTTAGGTAGACAAAGAATAATTTGGTCACTGTTAACAGAGAGTACATTCCTCCAAAGTCCTGGCCTCTTTTTAAACATTTTGTCACATCAAAAACTTCTCCGTTTCCCCTAAAGATGTACCCACCAGCACCAGGAGTAACAGATAAACAGAATATGGGCAATAGCTATATTCTGGATATTCTGAATAGATATTCAGAAGAGGAAAGGAGGCTCCACAGACATTTTCATATCTGGGAGGCAAAGGCTGTGCTGAGTTTTGGGGGCATTTTCACAAAGGCTCCTCAGTGCACTGAGATCTCTGCTCCTCTCATACCTGTGGCCTCTGCTGCCGTGGCACATCTTTCCCTTTGTCACCAAAACTCAGAAGAAAAAGAAAAACCCTCTAGCACTATGTTTGTGGCCTGATGGAGAATCAGAATTCTTTATTCTGGTCAGGATGTGCCATGGAAAACATTTCATTTACTCATGCCTTTTAACTAGACTTTCCACAGCTTTATGCATACATTATTTTCAAAATCACAAAACTGCTACTACCATTCCAAAGTCAGAATATTGAGAGCATGTTTTTGGAATAATTTCTTTGTCTCCGAGCTTTTGATTTTTGTCACCAAGGACTTTTAAAAAATAATCAAACATTTTTCTTTTTAAGATTGGCAAGGTCTACACTTGTGCTGATTCCATTGTTGGGGATCCACGAATTTGTGTTTACCTTCATCACTGATGAACAGGTGGAAGGACTTTCAAGACATATAAGACTTTTCATTCAGCTGACAATGAGCTCATTTCATGTAAGTTCTGAAAATATTGGTTTTTGTGTTTTGCAAATATTGTTTTTAGGGTCCACAGATCCACGTGCATTTGCTGCTCACCACAGTTATAGTGAATTCTGATTTAATATTATATCCCAACCTATAATGCCTCTAAATACACTGTTGCAGTAACAAGACAAAATACTCATAAATAAATATGATAGTCCCAAACACAAAAAAAAAGGAGTCTGATATTTAAAAAAAAAATAGTAGTAGGTAACAGCTCATCACAGATCCCTGCAAACAGGATTAAAATGGTCCATTTCAAACACTCCCAGCCAAAATCATAACCATGAGAATGTCTGCCTCATCCGAGGCTTGGGCTCATTTTCCTAAAGGATATTTCTTCACCTTACCCGCAAAGTGACAATCCCAGCTGCATGCTCACAAAAGTGCTCTACACCTGCATCCATTTTTAGTTAGTTTTAGGAGAAATTTTATCAGAGCCCTCACATGATGGAACAGAAAAATAGACCAGCAGCTGCAGGTGGAAAAGAAGTTTCTCACCCACAGGGTCAGGAGTGTTTTACAGTGTTCAGGCACTTGGCTCCCCTTCAGTCCCCCTGCCTGAGTTTGGTAGGAGTAGGAAAAAGCTGAGGTGAGGGAGGGCTGTGGATCTCAGCTGCAGGGCTGGGGCTAAAGGAGCCACACTCCCACCAAACAGCCACTTCCAAGGAGCTCAGATTCCAGGTGGAGCTGGTGCTGGAGCTCAGGGGTCATTCCCAGATGGACACTGGCACAAAACATCTCTGCCTGCCTGTCTGGAGTGCTGCAGCACTGCTAAAAAATGAATTTTTGAGGCCTCACTAATGAACCTGCCCAGCAGAGTTGTCCTTTACCCACATCTCCCTGCCTTGATCTTCCTGGGGCGCCAGGACAGCAATTTCCAGATCTTCATTTGCTGCAAAGCCCAGTGATCTCTGTGGCTCCAGGTGGCTGCTCCTCAGTAATTCACTCTCTGACACTGCTGCCCTCTTCTGCAGCCTGAGGCCATCCCAGCATTGCTGCACTTCTCCCACAATTTGTCATAATCCTGGTTTTTTATCTTTGCACATATGCACCTGTGCCCTGGTGCATGTATGCATCAGTTTTGGCACTGTTATTGAGGCTAAACTTCAACATTTACACCACAGCTTGAGGGGAAAAATGTCCCAGTGACAGCAGAGAATTCCTGGAGAGCCACAACCCCGAGGAGCCTGCTGACATGGTGTTCAGAAAATCCCAGAATTATTTGGGTTGGAAGGGACATTAATGTTGGAGTATAAGTTCCTTGGTTAGAAATATCCTTACTTGGAGAGGTTGCAGTGCCTAGATGTTATTTTAAAAGTGCAGAATCATTTTAAGTGAAGATTTTATTTACTGGCTTGCACAAAGAAATCTGATATATAAACCAGCTTACTCATCCTTGCAAAAGAACACAAACTTCATTCCTTTTAGAGAAACATGCATGAGCTTGGCAGCATGTCATGCTTTAGAAGCAGAGCTCCATTAAAAAATACCCAGAGATCTTAGCCAATGTTTATTGCAGATTCTCTTTTTTAGCTGCAGCATTATTTATGAAGGGATTAGCCAAAAAGCACATAAACTGTACCCAATTACATTTGTTTAGTCTGTAAATCTTCTCAGTAGTTTAAAAAGGCAGTTAAACTGTTTTGTTAAAGAAAAACAATTATCCCTGGGATCTCAGCTGAAGGTTTAACTCAAACATTTTCAAGGAGCACAAAATTAAATTCTAAATAGGAGTTCTGTTGTAGGTAGGATGCTGCTTTGCCTTAGGAAATGGGGCAATCTAAACATCTTGGCTCCCTTGTGCATGGAAATTGTTACCCTCAGGAAAAAACACTGCTTTCTGGTGGAAAATCCCAGTTATTTGAGTAATTTATCACATTGCAATTGTCGTTAGAACTGAAGACCAACTTTGAGGGGTGTATCTCTCCTTTCCTATTGGTGTTTCTGCTGATGAGCATTTATTCTGAATGTCTGATTCTCCATTTTCACTCACACTGGGATAATTCTGTGTGTCTGAGAAGTCACAACACACTGGGAAGCTTTCTAAGTGTGAAAATCAATTTACTGGGAGAAAATTCAGTAAGCATTAAAGAAACCAGGATGTGAAGTGAACATCAGATATAAATAATCAGTGAAGTTTTCCACCTTCTGGTGGGATTTTAAAGCGTTTGTCACTCCTGCCCTGGCCCTGCAGCAGCAGTGAAGGAGATTCCCAGAGGTATTTTCCAAACAGATCAGCCCAGGGAGCCTCACAGGCTCTGCCTTTCTCACAGTGCCTCTCACCAGGCTCAGGAGTGTCATTTAAATCCTCTTTGTGCTTGTGGTGCCTGGGAGGCCAAATTTAGAGTTCATACCCATAAACAGAAAACCCCCAAACCACCCAGCAGAGTCAGGAACTTGGTACCTCCCCAAAAAAGAGAACTGCCTCCAGGAGCAGGAGAAGTTCTGTATAAAAATTTGCTTTTTAAGCTAGTAAATTTGTATTTAATATAATATATTTAAATATTTAAAATATTAGATGAGACGACATTATATATTTACATGATATATATGCCACATAAATATCACCTATTAGTATCACCTATTATTAACTCTATAATCACCTATTATCATTAATATCACCTATTATTAACTAATATCACCTATTATTAACACCTATTATATCACCTAATAATATCACCTATTGTTAACTCTAATTAACTATATCTTCCTACCATGATCCAGGTGAAGCATGAAAAATGATAGAAATAAAATTCATGGAGAAAGCAATTCTGTTTGCTGCTTCTCCTGTCCCCATTTCCACTGGTGTGGCAGAAAAACTGCACATATGCTGAAGGAATTAATGACTCTAAATAACTGAGGACTGCTAGAAAATTAACAGCAGGCTCAGAATGCAATTGGTTAATTGTAGGTGTAATGAAAAATGTTGAAGCTTCTGTGTATGTGGATTTATTTTAAAATTTTTGTCTCAGCAAAGCAGAAATATTTCTGGAGCAGAAATATTTCTCAAAAATATGAGTGTGGGAACAATCAAATGCTGTCAGCTGGATTGCACCTTTGCAGCTGTGATATAAATATTGCCTTGGACTCAGAGTATTTATTCTCTTAATCAGAACTTGTGTCACAGATGCCTTTAGACACACCAAAAAAGGGCATTTCCTGAAGCAGTGGGAATCAATCTGCACGTCTGTGGGGCTGAGATGCAGCCTGTAAGCTGCTTTAGCCTGAGATCAAACCCAGACACAGAGAGGCAAATGGAAATGATGATTTTGGGATTGGTTTAAAACAAGTTGTATCTGTAGGGTTTTTTAAGGTGTTTATCTGAATCAGTTTCAAAGGAAAAACAGCAATTCTAAATGGCCATAACACTGAATATAGCTGAGCTTTGAACTAACACTAATCACTCAATTTAGAAATAATTTGTATAAAGAGCCCAAATTAGTAGAGTAATTCACAAACCCAAACAAGCATATAGATGATAAGAGAAACAAAGCTGCATTTTTTTTTATTTTACCTCATGTGGAAATAGCAGCAGTCACAGTATAACACAATAGTTTAGGAAAAAAAGCATGATGTGGTAGCAAAATAAAGATAAAACTGGGTTTTACAATCTGTAAAAAAAATTTAAAAAATAATATATATATAAATAATTTCTATATATTTAAATTATATATATATTTATATATAATTAAAATATATTTTAATGTATATAATTTCTATTCTTCAGCATCTGCATAAAATGTGCCCTGCACTTGCTAAGGAACTGCCCAAAACCAAGTGACTGGGTACTTCATTAATTAATAAATAAATGCAGGCAACTAGTTTCCTTTTGAACATTAAGGAGCACTGTTTATATTTACGGTTTTAACACTAATGTCACCTTTAAATTAGGGCTTCAGGTGTTTTCTGCACACTGACTTTCCCCTCTCACTCCTTTCTCTTACAGGGTTTTTTGGTAGCAGTTCTCTATTGCTTTGCTAACGGAGAGGTAAGACCCAGTGCTGTGAGAGGAGCTCTTAGTTCATTAGTAAAGTGTATTAATGACACCAAGAAGGATGAACACCCTGAGCAGCTCTGCTTATTGAGAGCATGCATGCATTCTTTGGTAAAATTGTTTTGAGTGAAGAGAACAGCAAGAACCACCACAGGTTTGGACTGAAATGCAAAATATTTCCAGGGAAGGCTGAGTGGGGATAGCATGTGGAGGTTTGGACAGCCTGGGGTGTCTGAAATGCCATTAGAGGTTTGTGGTCACCAGAAATCCCCTCCTTTAACCAGCTGAACCCCAGGCTTTGTGCTCAGCCAGGCTCAACCCTCTCTGGGTTTACCCCTGAGCTCCATGTAGGTGATCACATTCAGAGTTCATTATCTCACGCAGCAACACGTTGAAAAAATAATTTCATAAAATCACAGAATGGGTTGGGTTGGAAGGATCTTAGAGCACATCTCATCCCACCCCCTGTCATGGCAGAGACACCTTCCACTGTCCCAGGTGCTCCAAGCCACATCCAACCTGGCTTTGAACATTCCAGGGATCCAGGGGCAGCCACAGCTGCTCTGGGCACCCTGTGCCAGGGCTCTCCCAGGGAAGAATATCCTCCTAACATCTCATCTAAATCTGTCTTCTCATAGTTTAAAACCTTGTCCTGTCACTATTTGCACATGTAAAAATGTCTCTCAGCTTTTTTATATGTTCCCTTTAGGCCCTGGAAGGGGCACTTAGATCTCCCCAGAGCCTTCTCTTCTCCAGGCTGAACAACCTCAGCTCTCTCAGCCTGAGTTGCTACAAGCTACCTTGGAAAATGATGCTATCTCAGTTAATTTTTAAATGTTTTTAAGCTGAATCTGTCTGTTCTCCCTGACATTTGGCCCAGGTGCAGGCTGCCACTACTCACACACATCACATTTGCAGTGGAAAAACTTTCCTAAGTCAGGGTGAAGAGCCTGGACTCTTCAGATTGATTTAGCAAACAGATCTGTTCCTACCCTGCCAGCACCAGGTGCAAGGTAAACCCCAGAGGGGCAGGAAGCTCAGCACTTGACAGTTCCTCTCATTCTACACCTGGCCCTTGTGTCAGTGAACTCCAGGCTGCTCACATGCCACTACCAATGACTCTTTTCTCCTCAGGTGAAAGCAGAGCTGCAGAAGCAATGGTCCCGTTTCCTGCTGGCAGACCCCTTGGGCTGCAAGCTCTGCTTTCTAGGGGAAAACATCAAATACCTCAGGAAATGTTCCCAGAAAAGGAAAAAGCAGCAGCTGGGCAGCAGGCAGCACTGCTGCCTGGAGGTGAGCAGGCCCTGGGAGCTGCAGCTGCACAAGGTGCTGGGCAGGCCGGGCGCAGAGGCCAAGGCCGGCCCTGCCCAGATGAGCATGTCCGACAGCAGCGAGGGAGAGGTCACCACCGGAGAGACCACCGAGGAAGTCTTTGAGGAAAGTGAAATTTAGGCAGCTAAATGCCCCTGGGACAGCGCCTGCCAGCAGCGGGGCTCGGGAAAAACAAGCGTTCATCTCTCAGCTGCAGGCTGCTCAGGGCTCTGGGGTGTGCTTCAAGGACGAAGCAGTTGATGGCCCAGGTGTTCCGGTTGTCTCGGGCTGAGAAAAATGTTATTTATCTGGAGGTTGCTAAGCTGCGTGCCTGGGGAGAAGAGGTCTGCTGGATGCAGCGTTTTTGCTTTCTGTAGCATCCACAAGGAAGCAGGATGAACTCTGGAAAACAGGCTCTGGAGACACTGAAGTTTGGTCAGCTTCATCCGTATGTGACTGGCTTTGAGTCACATCATGAGAAGACAGTTTTTATTTTTCATGTGTGGTTCTTAAACAGAGAGACCTGTGGAAGACTCCTTCACATACCCCATCTCAAGAAATCCACCCCAATTTTAGAACAAACCAGACCAAACATATATATATGTATGTATGTATGTATGTTTATGTAGCTATGTATGAATGTGCTCCCTGTGGACAGTGACCAAATTATCCTTTGTCTCCTTAAAAAGGAAAAAAAGCCCAGAAGTTTCTCTCCTCAATCTGGTAAAAAGACACCTCATAGGACCTTTGGGACTTTACCTCAAACTTAAGGATAGCCAATTGGACAGAGGCCAAAAGGTCCCACCTAAGCAATTCACTAGAAAAAGAAGAGAATAAAGGAAATAATCACTTTTGTGATGTGTTTTATCAGGAGCAAGAACCTCTTGCCCTGGCTCAGCTTTTCTCTGTAAAGAGTTTTATTTTGCCTTTTTATTAAAACTTTTCTGTTTCCAACAGTACCACAGAAGCCATCCTGCTGATTTTATGCCATCTGAGGTAGATGAGCTATCTCAGGTGTAATACAGATCTCCAAGAGCTCCTAAGACCTGGCTCAAGGAGACCACAATATCCTATATATATATATATACACACATATAACCCAAAAAACAAACTTGGGAATAACCAAGCTTTTGCTTGCATTTTTGAGCATCTTCAATTAAAGTTTAGTGCTGGAAACATCATTATGAGATGGAAAGCCAAAATACTTCTATGGAATGTGCCCAAATGAAATGTTCTGATACAATTTTTTTTACCTTTTTTTTCCCCCCTTTTTTGACACAAGCCACTGTGACTTCTGGTTTGCCCTACATGTGTCCTTAATGACAAAACAGTGGGAAGTGCTGCTTCCACCTTCCTCCAGGGGACCCAAAATGGATAAAGACATGGGACTGTGACAGCACCAAGAGTATTGTGAAATCATTCTTCTTCCATTTAAAAAGAGCCATGGTGAAGTTTCCTTTCTCACATCCAAACTCAACCAGAGACCTATGAAATGCAATCAAGTTTGTTAATATTCTATGATTCTCCTTATATAACTTACCAGTGCTTTTATGATTATTTATCAGGCTACAAAGGTTTAGCCATGCAACCTGTGCCATTAATACTACTTTATTGCAAAGAACAGATAAATTCATTGACTAGCACTAGTTCAAGAACCTTTTTCTGGCACTTTAAAAAAGTATTTCTTTTACAGTTCTATCTGTGTTAACCTATTTAATCAATACCAAGTTGTATATTTCAGTGATATATTAATAAACTGTAAATGTTTGATCTATTTTAAAATAATTTATCTGCAGTTTTTAAAGGGGTTTTTTACTAGAATGTGAATTCTGCTTATATAGAATTTTACTGCAATGGATTTCTTCAGCAGCCACTGGAAACACCAAACAACACACACACACACTTTGTGTCTTCCTCAATTTCAAACAGACTGATTCCTTCTAGAGCCATTATTTAAGACATTAAAGAGATTGAAGTGAATTAGAATGTGTTTTACTTAGGTGTTAAAAACATTGAAATGGTAAGATTTTATTTTCAGTGAAACAGTTTACTTTTTAATTGCATTTTAAAGATTTTCATATGGTCAAGAAACCAGTTCTCTGTGTTTTGAACAGCAGTCCCTCTAGCTGCATTTTCTCCTCTCTATTATGTGTTTGGGCTTTTTGCCTCTTTCAGTTTATAAAAATCAACTCTTGTTATATAAGCAGGCCCTGCTGGCCTGAGGAGTGATCCAGACAAAAACAACCATCACATGGATTCCTTCAGAAAGCAGATAACAGCAAGAATACAGCATTATTTATTTTACAGAATTATTACAAGCTCCACATTTCTAAATATTTCTAGAAGACAGCAGCGAACTTCACAATTGATTATGATTTTTCTGCTTAATGTCTGGGTATTGTATTTTTACATCAATCTGTGTCTTTTAAGGCTGCAGATCCAACTCTTCTGTGACTGGAGAAGTTTCTGTTTTCCAACTCCCATAGGAAGGACAAGAAATAGGAGCTTGTTCTGACAAAAGAGTGGAGGAGACAGCCTGACCTAAACTCGTGTTTGTTTACAAGTGGTATTTTATGGAAATTATGTATCTAATTTGCACCCTGACTAATTGTCAGGCAACAGAAAGTTTAACATTCCCCCAGAGGTTTATTTATGCTTGTGCATACCTGGTAACAGGTCTTTTATCCATTGGTTTCTCAACTTTACTCCCCAGATTGCCCCTGCCTTTGGACAAAGCCTGGTGGGAGATAAAGGTTTCCCACAGTCCTGGGAGTCTGGACTCTGCTGAGTCAATCCATTCAGTGAGACAACTATTATTGTCTTACTGAATATTGGCCTGTTAATCCTCAGGACATCAGAGACAACCCACACCCAAACCTGACTGCCACAGCTCTGGAGTTGTCTTTGCCAAGGATTTCGCTTTCTGTCAAAACTTGCATGACAAAAAAAAAAAAAAGAAAAATCACATTCCAAGCCCAGAATAGCCTGTGGGGGTCAGAAGAGCTTTGCCACGAGATGTGGTGTGATAACTGATCTGATATGTACAAGATTTATTAGATCTCAGTAATCTGTTTGAGACAGGCTATTAATCTTTGATATTTTACTACACCTAGAGCACAACCTTCCAGACACAGTGGCTCCTCCTACAGCCAGAGATGTCAATGTATGCTAATTATTCATGTGTACTTACATTCCTTGTTAGATATATTGCTTCTACACGTCAGAGTCTGTGCCTCAAAGGCTCAAACAGTAAAGCACAAACATTCCATTCTGGAAAGCTCTGTCAGTTATGCCTTGGAATTGGTAATACTGGTCCTTCCTTTAACTTCTTTTCATTTGATTCTGGAATTTTCTTCCCTTTTCCCATCAGTCTGAGCTCCCATTAAGGAAAATTCTGTGATTCTGTAAGGAAAATTCTTTAAAATTCTTCATGATGTTTTTTTGCTAACATCATCTTCCCAACTTCCATAGCAACCACCCTTCTGGATTTTTAACTGGTTTTTTTCCACCTGCCATTTCAAATCTCACAAACTCTCTGCTGTGCTAAATGTCATCTCCTGTTTAGATGTCTCTGCAGTCATTCCTGGAGCCACACACATCTACAGTGAGAAGCAGCTGCTTGTGAGCTTCATCACTGCAATTAGCTCCAGGAAATTAAAGTTCAGCTGCCACATACCAGCCCTCCAAGGCTGATTCCTTCTGCATCACATTGGCTCAGCAAAGAGGATGCAAAACACCACCTAGAAGAACTAGGGAAAGGAACAAGAACAACAAAAATGCAGTAGGAAGAATTCTTCAGCTTTTTTCCTTTCTCCTTTGCCTTTCATGGAAGGAAAGGGGGGGATTTATTGGACTTTATTTGAGAAAGGTATCACAGAAGATCAATTATCAATCACTGACTGAACTGTCCATCCATTATTTATCTGTAGGGAGGCAAAAAATCTGTCAAGTGCTGTTTAACTCCAGCACTGACACTGCTGGGGAAGATCCTGAGCAGAGGATCAAAGTGTAATCTAGGGCTGAATCACAATACATTCCATGTAATTCATGACCAAGCTTTCTTCTCCCACCTTCCCTATAAAACTGGTGCTTATGGACGAATGTCACATTTATATTTTCTGGAAAAATCCCTTTGGCCAGGATTTTTCTCCTAGGAAGCTGAGAGGCCTCAGACAAAAAGGAAAACAATTCTTATCTCATTTGGTTCTCCTGTGTTTTGCTGCTTTGGAATGTGGTTTGAGATTGTTTATCCACAGGTGGTTGTTTTATTGGACTCATTTCATTGTGAGTTGTTTTGTCTCTTTGGCCAATCAGGGCCAAGCTGTGTCAGACTCTGGAAAGAGTCACAAGTTTTCATTATTATCTTTTTAGCCTTCTCTAAGTATCCTTTCTGTATTCTTTAGTATAGTATAGTTTAGTATTATTTAATATAATATAGTATTATAAAATAATAAATTAGCGTTCTGAGAACATGGAGTCAGATTCATCATTCCTTCCTGCCACGAGGGTGCCTGCAAATACAACAGACTGATCTGGTGCTATATGGACTAATCCAGAGTTTTACTTCTCACAGACTTGGGAGGCAAGAAATAAACTGGTTTCAACAAGAAAAGCACAAAGCAACAAAGGTCAGAGAGGCACTGAGCACACATACTTCTCACAGACTTGGGAGGCAAGAAATAAACTGGTTTCAACAAGAAAAGCACAAAGGTCAGAGAGGCACTGAGCACACGTCTGCCCGTGGTGTCTGTAAGCAGCCAGGCTGTTAACTGTGCACAGCTGCACACAATTTGCAGGCACTCTCAGGAGGATCTGAGCCAAGTGAAAGATCCCTGAGAGCTGTGAGCAGTGCTAGGAGGGTGTCTGGGCTTAACCCCCACATTTCCACATTCCACCATGGTGCCATCCAGTCTTCCTCCCTTTTACAAAATTGCAGTAAGTGGAAAGGCAGTGGGAAGAGCCCCTGAAGCCTGAGAGCAGAGCTGTAGAACTCAGCTTAAAGACATCCAAGCAGCTGGCACAAAATACAGGTGCCATCCAGTCTTCCTCCCTTTTACAAAATTGCAGAAAGTGGAAAGGCAGTGGGAAGAACCCCTGAAGCGTGAGAGCAGAGCTGTAGAACTCAAAGACATCCAAGCAGCTGACACAAAATACATCCCCAGTCTCTTTGAGCAAAAACCAGCGACAAATGACACAGTCTTAAAACATTTGCTAAGTCTAAAAAAAATTTTTAAAAAATCATTGCTCTGTAAATAAAAAGACTGCAACTTCTGCTGTAGCTTTGGGAGACTTGAGTGTTTGGTTTTCTACTTGATAAAACAGGAAGTCAAAATCAAATCTGAGCTGAAGTTTTTCATCCTCTGCTTTCAGGGACTTGTGAAAACAACAGTGCAAACAGCCCGCAGCACAGACCATTGAGGCTGGACTGTTTGTCCCTATAATAAATACTTCACCAGTGCATGTTTGTAATTTTTTTCATTTGTATAAGGACTGAGACAGTAACTTCCCCAAAGTTCTGCATTTCTGTGGCTCCAGTCAAGCTAGAGGATTATGACTGCTCAAACTTCCCTTGTGTGTGAGGTTAATTCAAAGTAAGATGTGCAAATAGAATTCCCTGGGCCATCTGACCATAAATTCAGAAACTGCCATTGTATTCCTTAAAACCGTGCGACAGAAATGGTGGTAATGCAGCAAACCAGGAAAGATTACAAGATCATTAAACCAACTGCTTTAACTTTACACATAGCTTTACTTCTACTTTACACACAGCTTTACTTCTAAGGGCCTCACGCAGAACACAGCTCACATTGACTTCTGAAAGCTTAAAAACACTTTCAGCCCATCCACCTTGCAGAGTCAGTTTCACTTTTTTGACTCACCCATGTCTACGGTACCCATGTCTACACTTATTTCAATGGCCATATGTGAATCCTTCCATGAACACTGCAAATGTCACGAACATCTGTGACCTTCTGCAGGCTGTCTGTCCATCCAAAGCCCTGCAAGGTAGAGTTGTTTCTCTGTGTGTCCAGTGGCCTACACAGATGAAGACAGATCCAACAGATCATTGCCAGGGTCCCCAGGAGCACCACCAGGACTTACCTGCCTTAGGGCTGGCCCGTGGGTCCAGGAGCACTGCTTTAAGTTCAGGTCTGAGACATCTGTAGATGCAGTCATCTCCTGCTTCTCCTCTTGCATGGACCTCAGAAGTCAAAGGCTTGATTACATTGTGGAAGCCAAGCTGATTTTTTAATTATCATGGCTGCAGAAGCCTAGCATAGACATTCCTGGTGCTGAACCTTGTGATCTCTGGATGGAAATACTGCAGACTGCAAGGCTGCCACCCTGCCACTGCCAGTACCTGCTCTGGTCCTCTAACTGGGGTGGTTTTGCTGGGCACTGGCACTACACCAGCACAGCAAATGGCTTGTTCAGCGTCTCCCCAGTTTGGGTTTCCAGGTGGTGTCAAAGTCCTCCACAAGGAAGGGCTTTTTGCTGTCAGAGTGCAGCTGAATGTGCCACAGCATGTGGAGGGTACTCATCAGCTGCTCCACACATACACCAGAATCAGAGAGAATTTAACAGATTTAGGTAACTTTGCACAAGGTGCAAAGGCACTGCTGTGAAAACCAAGCTTCCACCTGGAACTTTTTCAACGTTTAACCTTCAGTCTCTTCTCCTTCCTGAAGGTGTCAAAGTCCTCCACAAGGAAGGGCTTTTTGCTGTCAGAGTGCAGCTGAACTGCTCTACACATGCACCAGAATCTGAGAGAATTTTAACAGATTTAGGCAACTTTGCACAAGGTGCAAAGGCGCTGCTGTGAAAACTGAGCTTCCACCTGGAACTTTTTCAGTGTTTAGCCTTCAGTGTCTTCTCCTTTCTGAGAAGAGTGTGCACACCTCTGCCACAACATCCCACCTCCATGCACAA